TTCCATTGTATAGAGTTGATAGATATTTGACTTGTTTCCACTTTTTGGCTATTATGAATAATGCTGCTATGAACTGTCATGTATAAGTTTTTGTGTGGATTATGTTTCCGTTTCTCTCTGGGGTATATACCTAGGAGTGGAATTGCTGGGTTATATGGTAACTCTATGTTTAACCTTTAGAGGACCTGCTTTTCCGGACTGTTTTCCGTAGCGCTATACCATTTTTACATTCCCACCTGCAGTGTATGAAGGATCCGATTTCTCCAGATCCTTACTAACACTTGGTATTATCTATCTTTCTGATGAGAGCTCTCTCAGTGGGTATGAAGTGATATCTCATTTTGGCTTTGATTTGCACTTCCTTGATGGCTAGTGACGTTGAGCATCTTTTCAGGTGCTTATTGGCCACTTACATATCTTTTTTCGAGAAATGTCTATTCAGATCCTTTGCTCATTTTTAAAAATTTTATTTATTTTTATTTATTTATTTTTGGCTGCATTGGGTCTTCGTTTCTGCGCGCAGGCTTTCTCTAGTTGCGGCAAGTGGGAGCTACTCTTCGTTGCGGTGCGCGGGCTTCTCATTGCGGTGGCTTCTCTGTTTTGGATCATGGGCTCTAGGTGCGCGGGATTCAGTAGTTGTGGCACACGGGCTCCGTAGTTGTGGCTTGCAGGCTCAGTAGTTGTGGCACACAGGCTTAGTTGCTCCGCGGCATGTGCTGTCTTCCCGGACCAGGGCTCGAACCCATGTCGCCTGCATTGGCAGGCAGATTCTTAACCACTGCACCACCGGGTATATTTTGACTCAAATAAATTGAGTTATTTATCTTTTTATTATTGAGTTGTATGACTTCTTTATATATTCTAGATACAAGCCCCTTATCAAATATATGACTTGCAAACTTTTTCTTCTATTCTTTGGGTTGTTTTTTTCACTTTCTTGATGGTGTCCTTTGAAGCACAGATGTTTTAATTTTAATGGTGTCCAACTGATCTATCTTTCTTTTTCTAGTTTTAGGTCTTTGCACCATTTTGAGTTGGCTTTTGTATACGGTGTGAGGTAGAGGTACCACTTAATTCTTTTGCACGTGGTTATCCAGTTGAAGAGACTGTTCTTCTCCCATTGAACTGTGTTCGTACCCTTATCGAAAAATCAGCTGATTGTAAATGTGAGGGTTTATTTCTGGACTCTCAATTCTATTCTATTGATCTATATGTACATCCTTATGCCAGTTCCACACTGTCCTGAAGGGAACTGAATCTGAACTGGACCAAGTTAACTGGACCTGGGAATGCACAGTCACGGTGTCTCCTTACCTCTCCACAGTGCTTCAGAATTTCTAAGGTGTTTTCATACGCATGATCTCACTTAAGTCTTGCAGCAGCTCTGAGAGTAAGTGGAAGTCCAGAAGGCTGAGTGGCAAATCCCTAGACTCACCCATCCAGAAACAGTGGTGGTCCCAGGACCAACCTATGGATCCTTTGACTCTTGGTCAAGTGCTCTCATTACCCCCAGCCAATTGCCTGCTGGTCGAGTTCAGGAATTTGAGAAAAGTAAAAAGTATAGAGAGAAATTAGGGCAAAAATGGGGGGAAGGGTATAAAACAGACTGATTATAAATGTTTGGCTCCTAATCAGCTTACGGTAAATTTTCCGTTCTCCTGCATGGACAAGAAATGGGATGTGCTGGGTAATCCAGTGTTTTGCTTGGGCATTGCATTTTCAAAGAATGAGAATACAGTGAAATACTCTCAACACCAAAACCACACAGGCTGTAATTTAATCTTTAATTTTGTTATTGTTGTCATTCTAGAAGACTCTTTAGTATATTTTAAAGCAGCGTTCCTTCAAGAGTGGTCCAAGGAAAACCTCAGCTATCAGCATCATCGGATAGAGGTGCTTGTTTAAAAATGCATTTTTCAGAGCCCCCGTCTACCCTGAGTCTACTGAAAATCACTGGGTGGTTTTTTTTTTTATGCACGTCAAAGTTTGGGAACCACTGTTTTAGAGCAGGGGAAATCAATTTATGAATATCAACTATCATTGCACTTAAGAGATGCAGAAATTCTGCTTAAATGAGAGTTCTGGATAACAGATTAATGGACCTCATTTCCTTCAATTCTTTGCTGAAACATCACCCTCCCTGTGAGAATTTTCCTGATTTAAAATTGCTTTCCCCCATGCCTCCCACCCGCCCTAGCCCCCTTCCTTCTCCCCAGCGCGTACCAACATGTAACTGACAAATCACTAATTTATTTATCTGTTTATTTATTACCTGACTCCTGTCTCTAGTAAGCAAGTTTCGCCAAGGTAGGTGGTAGGAATATAGCACCTAAGACAGTGTCTGGTACGTAGAAGGTGTTCAATAAATATTTGTGGAATGAATGAATGTGCCAAGTTGCTTCTTGGTGCTTGGGCGGAATGTCATTTGCCCACCGTATTTTTCGAAAGGATTTTTTAAAGTATAAAGCAATTTATGCTTTAATTCTCTCAGTGATTTTCAGGGTGTGTCATACAAGAGAGAAAGAGCTGGAACCGAATCCTCTAATCTCCTAATTCTGGGGTTTGGGCCAGTTGCTCTAAAGATCGTTTTTTCTTAATACCGCTGAGATCTTCAATTTACTGTAAGGATCATCCATTTACAGCTGCATTGTCCTGGGAGGGCTACCTCTAGAAGTACTCCTCACCCCTACTGTGAACAAAGTGGAAGGAAGCAATGAGACTGGGATGAGAACCTGCAGTGAGAACCTGCAGTGGGAGGGGACTTCTGTAAATTCACCCCACACGTGACAGGTAGTGACAACAAGTAGAAACTTCCTCCTCTGAGGTCCTGCATGAGGATGCTAATAAATGGTTCCTATCTCACCGGGCTTGGCTGGCTCTGCACAAATGACCCTTACCCGTTTCCTACCCTCCCAAGAGCACCAGCACCAAAATCGATGCTCATGGGCGCTTTGGGGCTCCCTCCTCCCCGCGCCTCCCCACTGGCCCCATTTTACACACAGGAAACCTGAAATTTAGACCCAGGAATGGTCAGTTCCCTAACACCGGAGGTGCTCTCTGCTGACCCTTATCCATGTCTCTCCCAGGACACACCTGATGTTCCAGTTTGCATTAAGATGGTGAGAAATACCCTGTGTGGGGTGCCCCGCACCCCCAGTTCAGGGGATTCTGAGAAATTGTGGGACCAGTCAGATGATAAAAACAGGAAAAAGGAAGTTTGTTTTTAGTGTTATGCACACAGGGTGGCAGGATATACCTGCTGAGTGTTCCCAGAAGGTCCCTGAGGAAACCATTAACCTGAGTCTCTCCTGTTCTTCTACTAGAGGTGGCTGGGGTGGGGTGGGGGCAGGGAAAATATACTGAGAGGAGGGGGATGGGCATCCTTCCAGAGGTCAGGGTTACATTGCCCAGAGCTCCTGCACACGTTAATAAAAGGTGGCTAACTTGAGGATGGAGGTCAAGGTGAGCAAGGGGCTCGTCATCAGGGATTGTCACTGGGTTACACAGAGTGGATTGAAGAGTGGGGGGGAAGGAGTAGGAGGTGAGTTGGGAGGGAGGGGGTTGTGTGGCACTGAGACCCCCAGCAGTGTTGGGGATTTGGGAAGGAGTGGCTGCCTTAGCCTCTGACTTTGACCCTTTCTTGGCTGGTTTCAGCCAAGGAATTGAGGAGAGGATATGGATTTGGAGAGGTGGCGGATAGGGAGAGTGGCCTGGGTCCGGAGGTGATCCAGGATGGACTTCCTCGGGGTTCCCAGGCTAGAGGAGGGAGTTTAAGGCGTGGATGAGATGGCCCCCAGGAGGCTGGGGTGAAAGCACTGAAGGATCTCAGAGACCCAGAAGATGGGGGTGTGGGGAGAAGGAAGACGGGAAGGCGTTTGCCTCCACGGGAGTACTCTAAATTGAGACGGACCGAGAGAAGTAACTCCAAACGCAGTGGGTAGGCAGCCTAGGTTCTTCCAATCCGATGGAGTGGGGCTTGGAACTCTGCAAAAAAAAAAAAAAAAAAAAAAAAAAAGGTGGGGGGGTCATTCAGAGGGGAAGGTGCACAGCGGAGGCATCGAGCTCCTAAACTGGAAACGGGAGGCTCTGGAGGCGCTGACCTTTCCCCCAGCCTCGGTGGGGAGTTGGGCGCTGAGCCTCTGGAACCTGCTTTCCCAAATCCAGACAGAAGTCCGTGTAGGGCTGACACGAGGGAGCCGGGGAGTGAGGGAAACTGTGGCGACTCCTCACACTGGAGGGGGTTGCGGGCAGCGGCAAACCAAGAACCCGGGCTCGGGGCAGGGGGTTTCTCAACACACTATAGAGTCCACGGCTGAGGACGGAAGGGATTTGGGGGACCTGAGAGGGATTCTCAGAAAGGGTTGAGGGGAACGGACACTATTTCTACCGCGGTGCTGAATGAAGGCTCCCCGCTCGGGACGCGAGGCACCGAGAGGGTTCCCCGAATTGGATATGGGGGATATGGGACACTGGGAGCGGACTGAGGGCCGCTGAGGGGGGAACTCTAAATTAGGTTCGGCGGAAACTGGGGGCTCGGAGGGTGATTCTCGCTCGGACCGGGGGAAAGGAGGGATCCTCACCAGTCGGAACGTGAGGGGATTGGGGTCTATCTCCCTCCCGACCCAGGGAGATTGGGGACCTCTTAGATTCTGGATAGCGGGGACCTGAGAAGAAGGACTGGGGGGCCCCAGATCCGGAACCGAGCTACCTTGAAGGCACCGGGAAGCGCTTCATTCCGAGAGGGCGTTCCCGCGGCCCGGCCCCCGTGCCGGGGTGGATGGGGGGTGCGGCCGCGCCCAGGTCCCGGCCCGCCTCGGGATTCGGGGTCTCTCTCGCCCTCGGGGACCCGGGAGCCCGGCGGGAGCGGGGTCCCGGCGCCGCCGCCTCCGCGGGCGCCCGGGCGGACCGGCGAGCGCTGGGATTTATGCTCGCAGGGCGGCGGGGGGAGGAGCCGGCAGGTCGGCCCCCGGCGGGCCCTCCCCTCGGCCGTCCCCGCCCGCCCGCCCGAGCGGGGTCGGGGGAGGGGGCAGCATGGCCTGTCCGTCCGGCCCCCTTCGCCGCGCTCCTCATCTGCCCCGCGCCGAGCGCTGCCGCCGCCGCCGCCGCCGCCGCTCCGCTGCCCGCGTCGCCCGCGGCTCCCGATGGAGACTGACGCGCCCCAGCCCGGCCTCGCCTCCCCGGACTCGCCGCACGACCCCTGGTACGGCCCGGCCCGGCCCGGCCCGGCCTTACTGGCCCGCGCCCGCCCCGGCCCCGCCAACATGGCCGATCCGGGTCGGGCCGGGCCTCCCCGGGGCCCGGGCCCGCGCCCCCTGCGCCCGGGCGCCCGGCGCTCACGCGGGCCCTTTGTGTCTCTCCTCCTCCCGCAGCAAGATGTTCATCGGGGGACTCAGTTGGCAGACTACGCAGGGTGAGCGAGCCCGGGAGCGCCCGCCGGCCCGGCTGGGCACCCGGGACCCCCCGGCGCCCCGGAACCGGACACCCCAGCCCGGCCCTGCGCCCCGCTGACCCCGGGCGCCTCCGCGCCCTGTTTCGCGCCCCGCCCGGGGACCCCGAGAGCGCAGGGCGATCGGCTTGCGCGCACGGCCCAGCGGGTGGAGGGGAGGAGATGAGGGGTTCAGGGGGCATCGGGGGGTGGGCTGAGCCCCCGGGACCCGCCGGCGGCAGCGCCAACTCCGCTCGCACCTGCGGCTCAAACTTTTGTGAGGCGGCTCCCGGAGCGGCGGGAACCCGGCCGGAGCCGTCCCCCCTCCAGCCCAGCTCGGCCCTCGGCTTCCTGGGGCCCCCAGTGGGCGCCAGGAGGCTCCACGGGAGCCGGGTGAGGACCGGGGGTGGGGGAAGCGGTGGAGAGCGTGCAGCCTGCTTGGCGCGGGGGCGGCCGGGCCGAGCCGGGGTCACTGGGGGCAAAGGACGCGGGAAGGGGGGAAGGGCGCGGGGCGCGGGCTGGTCCGAAGGCGGGTGTGTGGTTACAGAAGGGCTGCGCGAATACTTCGGCCAGTTCGGGGAGGTGAAGGAGTGTCTGGTGATGCGGGACCCCCTGACCAAAAGATCCAGGTGAGCCCCTCACCCCCTCCTCCTGCTCCCGGCTCGCCCCCCTCCGCCGCCACTCACTGCCTTGTAACCATCTGCCTCTCCCTCACTACCGCGCGCAGGGGTTTCGGCTTCGTCACTTTCATGGACCAGGCGGGGGTGGATAAAGTACTGGCACAATCGCGGCACGAGCTCGACTCCAAAACAGTGAGTGGCCCTCGGGGCTTCGGGGGTCCTTTGGGAGAGGGAGGTCGCTGGAGGAGAGGGTCAGGCCTCTCCCCAGGGGACAGCTGGATGGGGTCCTGAAGGAAGGAGGGAGTTTTCTGAGTAGAAGGGCTGCCACACTCTGAAACTTTGTCACTAGAGTTGAGGGGAGACGGAGCAGGAAAATCCCAGGCCAGCTAGGAGATGTTACACCCCCCAACCCCTCCAGTACCGGTGAGGGAAGACGCAGCTACCATCCCCTTCTTGTACATACTAATCTTGATGCCTCAGAGAGGAGTTTGGGGTGGGGCTGGGTCCCACCCCTAGCCCAAATTGGGTGAGTCAGGGCTGCAGTGACCCACCCGTGGCTTCTCTGAACTCTAGCTAGTATTTGGCTCCCCCCACCCCATTCCAGACCAATGGCAAAGCATCACTGAATCCCCCTCCCTTCTTCCTTCCCTCCCTCCTCCCCTGACTTTTGGTCAATGAGCTCCTTGCTTTGTGTGGAAGACGTGAACCTGCTTTGCTCATGAAGGGATTTATGAGAAGGGAGCTAGCTTGCCTGGAGACAACCCTTTCCAGCTAGATCTGAGGAGAAGCTGCTTGTTGGGCATTCAAACTCCAGGAACATTTTGCTGCTGTCTCACTGCTCCCCCAGTGTCTTGGGCCCTGCAGGGGGCGCTGGCACAGGCCCCAGCTCAAGGGGAGAGGGAAGAGGAGAAAGAGAGGAGGGGTTCCTCTGTGATGGGGTGACTGTCTGCCAGGGGCCGGGACAGTGCGATCTCTCACCACACTCCCCCACTCTCCTCCAGCCCTGGGCCTCCCTGCTTGGGTCAGTCATTGGCTCCTGTTTACCTGCAACAATAGCTGGTTGTGCCCAAGAATTTGTTAAATTACCTCCTGTCCCCGGCTCCTGTTATCTCTGCCCAGTGGCTCCCACTCCTGCTCGCAGTAATGAGCAAATGAGGCCAGGCCTCAACTTTGCCGGCTCTGAAAGGATCTTCTTGGCGCAGACTGAGTGACCCAAGCTGGGAATGGAGAGACAGTGGCCTATTGTTTTTGGTGATTATCTGCCATCAAGCTGCCTGTTCTCCTACCATCCCCTGTCCTCAGAATGCACTGATGGCTTCTGCAGCGCTCAGGAAGCAGAGATTTTGGGGCTGGGGCTGGAGCTGAGGGTGGGGGCATGGAAGATGGATAAGGGGAAGAGAGAGGGGAGGAAGGAGGATGAGATGGGCATCCTTCTGAGATTCGGGACTTGAAAAGGGCAAGGGCTTTGTGTTTGGCATTCTTTAGCCTGGGAAGGGAGGTTTATTGTGGGGAGTTTATTTTGGGTTCTGACTTTCACCTTTTATTTACTTGTTGGGTTTTATGTTGCCAGCTATGAGTCAGAGTGGAGGTAAGGTGTGTCAGGGATTGGGTGTGTGTGGCTCTGCAGGACATAGCTTGGGTACCATCTCCCCATCAGTGTCTGCACATGGGGACTGTCTGAGGTGTGCTCTGGCAGCCTCCAGGAGAAATAGAAGGACGAACATGTCCATCGAGGTACGAAATCATACCTTCGGACAGGAGAATGGGCAGCTGTGATTATCCCTGGAGCCCCTTGGCATTTGGGGAGAGAGGAGGCATTGCCCAATGTGGATTTTGGAGGTTCCTTCTCTGTGGGTAGATTCCAGAGGGGGAACCAGGGAGGCTGGCCCTGGTTTGTGCCATTCAGGCAGGGAGGGACCAGAACCCGTTGCCTAGAACTAGGCTGAGTTTTGAACGGAAGGAGCTCTGGGGAAAGATAGATCTTCCCTGCGATTGGCTGGTGAACTTCTGAGTGGTTTCCACCCATGTGAGTGGCAAGAAACTCTGAAATGACCGGGCCTCATAGGTCGTGCATTGATCACAGTGTCTCGTGCTCTGGCTTTTGCTGTTTGTCAGTACGAATATAGTACCCGGGAGTACCCAGGTGCATCTTGCTTTTCCCCTTTGGTTGTTCACAGCCAAGGGCAAAGGTGGCCTGCTGGTAATAGCACCTTTGTTTGTGCAATGAAGGGCAGTTCACAAAGGAATGCTTTCACCTGCATTATCTCATTTGATTCCTTGCAGCTCCCTCTGGGAAAAGTGGGTGCTATTGTCCCCACTTTGCAGATGGGGGAACTGAGGCTCAGAGGGATCAGGCAAGTTACCAAGATCACAGGCTTGGCCAGGGGCCCAAAGTTTGAGTTCAAATCGCGTGTTCTTGCGTGTCACCAAACCTGCGCTCTGCTTCACCCCAAGCCGAGCTGTATTATCAGGGAACTGTTTGTTTGTGGCCTCAAGAAGGGCTGTTAGATGTCGATGGTACTGGGAAAACAGAACTGAGTCTACCCTTGGTGGTTTATGAACTCTTATCTTGAAGCCTTTTTCAGGCAAAGAGTGTTTCCATTCACAAGGCTTCCGAAGTCTGGATCGCATACCTCACCTGGACAGGTATCTGTCAGGCAGGAAGGCCCTCGATATACCTGGTGCTGGAAGGAATAACACTTTGTTTACTTTTTTCTGGTTCTTGCTGAGGGCTAGACAACAAGTGCTTTGTAAGCATTACCTCAAATAATCTGCAGACAGCCCTTTGAGGTGGATGTTAGTATTGGCCCGTTTTGCTGGTGAGCTCAAGCCTGAGGCTCAGAGAGGTTAAGTAATTTGTGCAAGCTCTCACAGCTGGGAAGCAGTGTAAGTGGGATTTGAACCCAACAGCCTGGCTCTAGGGCCTAAATGCTTAACTGTTACATTTTCCTGCCAGAGGCTGTGGTGCTTTCTGTCACCTCTGTGTCCTGGGATGAGAGAGGTCCTCAGATCTTCAGGCTGAGTGTGATAACCAACGCCCCTCTACCTCTCTCTTCCCTTTCAGATTGATCCCAAGGTGGCCTTTCCTCGGCGAGCACAGCCTAAGGTAGGTATGTGTGTATCTGGGAGCAGCTCTGTACAACCGGCAGTGATTTTCCCAGCATTCCCTTCTATGGAAGAGGCTTCTGGTTAGAGTGTTAATGGCATGGACTGGGATGGGAGGAGGGAGGACTCTTCACGTCCCTGTTCTTTGAATTGCGGACACCATGCATTTTTCCGTCTGTGCTCTGGGGTGGACTAGAGAGAGGGGGCTGCATATATTGAGAGAAGAAGGAACCCCCCCAGGTGATTCATTGCCCTGTATTTGAAGCCAGTACACTTTGGACCCTGAGTCTAATTCTGACTCTGGAGATCACAGCCTCTGTGCCTAGCACCTCTGGGGGGTCAAACACAGCCCAGACTTACCCTCTGAAGCTGAGCTAAAGTCAGGCCAGGGAGCTACCTCTGACCCCCCAATTACCACCCCCCACCTCTGGGGTGAGGTGTGTTGGGCTTGAAGAGTGGGAAGGGACCATGGTGTCTGACACCTGTTATCTTTCAAGTTGGATGACTGTGGCTGCCCTCCCAAGTATTCTTTTTCCCTGGTGCTGTGGCGAGTTTTTCTGGGCGTATAGAAAACAGATTTCTGAGCAGTTGAGCTATACAGAACTCAAAACTTTTGGTGCAGGACAGGAGCCTATTCCAGAGCCCAGGGCAACTAGCCACATCTTAATTTTTAAGCAGTCGAAAACAGGAGACAGGCGGAAGGCTGACTATAGTACAGAGATCAAGACCCCTGAGTCTGCTGATTTATCATGTGTCCTGGGACTAGGTCCCTCCTCAGAAGATCTCAATTCCTCCTTTGCAAGGGGTCAGTGGGAACTGGGATGCTTTAAGATTTTGAGTCATGGTGCCCAGCTCCTGCCACTGCGAAGGGAGAGAGGCAGGTTTTAGGAGACAGGAAAAGGGCATCACTGAAAGAGTCCAGCAGAGGGCCTGAAAGCAATTATGAAGCAGGTATTTGAAGGAAGCCGCACCAGGGAGCACATGGTCGGAATTGGGTTAATTCCATTAAGCAGTTTGGTGACAGAAGGTGCTTTAGTGTTAGGATGGGGCTGGGAATTGCCATGGATTAGCCATGCGCTCCTGGGGTAATTAGGACCATGTGTTCTTCGTAAAACAGGGCTGGGGCCACGGGGCAGCCAGAGGTTGGGTTGGGAGGAGGTTGATGAGGAAAATGTCGGTGTTGAGTTCAGGGGGACCCTGGGATGGGCCTTGGCCTCTCCTAGGAGGGGCTGGTGGGGTCTTTGAGGTAGGCTGTAGGTCTGGGTCACTAAGCCATTCCCCTTCCTGACACAGACCCCAGGAAGCGAGCCAGCCAGGGTGTGGGGTACACAGCTGCCCGTTACAGGCCTAGAGGCAGGGGTCCAAGGGGGAGCTTGGGGGGAGGGGGAGCTTCCGAGTAGCTGGGGCCACAGAGAGCTTGTCAGCTGGCGCCCTGGCAGGAGGGCTGGAGCCCCTGCTGGTGGCGGTAGGCCACAGGACTCAGATGCCCACTTTCTCATTCCCTCCCCTAACAGATGGTGACTCGAACGAAGAAGATCTTTGTTGGGGGGCTGTCAGTAAACACCACGGTGGAAGACGTGAAGCAGTATTTTGAGCAGTTCGGGAAGGTGGGTCAAAACTGGGGGTGCTGGCTGGGGGGTATGACAGGCCTGTAGAATTTTGGTCAGTAGCAAGTGGAGTCCAGCCAGGTCATTCCAATTCCTGCAAGAGTTGAAAAGGGGGCTGGGTCCTTTTGTGGGTGAGGCTGGGCCAACCCACCGTTCAGGCTCCTGGCCTATCTGTGGGCTTCGGACTCTGGACACGTCCCCAGGGAGAGAAGCCACACAGTAGCTGTCCCTGTTGTTGCCCTTCTCCTGCTTATCTTCACTCTCCTGAGGGAGGCTGTGCTCCCGAAGCCAGTTCAATCCAGTCACCCCTTGGCCTCCTGGGAGTTTGCACCTGTCCAGTCCACGGGCGGTTGTACCTTCCCCCACTCCTTCCTGGTGAGGATGATAAGGAAGCAATAAATATGACTCCCAGTTGTACTCAGGACCCTCCTTGCACAGGTGGGAGCTGAGGGGGAGGGTGCCGATCTCTTAGCTACTGGGGAGGGGTTGAAGAGACCACCCCAAATTCCTGATCAGACCCGGAGGACTGCTTCTTAGCTCTGAGGTGCATGGAGCTTACATTTCTGGGCCATTTAGTCCATGCAGAAGCAGATGTGGTGACATGAGACAATAGGGTGTCCCCAGAAAGGGGAGCAATGTGAACATCAAGGTCGCATGGAGAGATGGCTAGGAGGGGACCAAGTTTTAAATCTGGGGCTGAAGTAGGGCTGCTGTGCTTAGTGCTGGGGTCCCTGGTCTTTTCTGACCTGAGACAGGCTGCAGGCTGGATCTCACTTTCCCCGTCAAGGCTCTTTCAGTTCCCTGTTAGGCAAAGGGCACAGGAGAACGTGGCTTGGGAATGGGATGTGAGCTGGGGACTGGGTGGGTTTCCAGCCCCCCCCCACACTCCGTCTCTAGGGTAGAAGGGGAGAGGGTGGGAGGTCCCCTGGCCAGCGGATGCCGGCGATGCAAGGGCCAGAGGCCTAGGCTCAAGCGCCTCAGCGGGGACCCGGGCACAGGACCCAGGGCAGGTCGGCCGCCTGGGCCCCAGAGGGAAGGGCGCTCCTGGGAAGCAGCAGGCCCCGCTCGGCTCCGGTGGGGTGTCTTTGTGTCTGAGCGCCGAGCATTAGAGCTCGCACTAATCTGATCCAGCAGCTGTGATTGGAGGCCGCCTGCCCCCGGGGCCGGCGTTGCCATGGCAACCGGGCCCCAGGAGAAGCCGTCAGCGGCCGCGTCTTTTGTTCGGGCCTAAATCGGCGTTGGCATGTGAAACCGGCCCGGGGAGGCCAGGGGGAGCTGGAGAATAGGCTGCCAGGGAGAGAGGGGGACAGCCGGGAATGCCAAGGGCCCCGCGGCGGGGGGCCTCCCGCCCGGATCGAGGGGCCGCCGCCGAGGGGGGAACAATGGTCAGCCGCCATGGCTGCCACTCAGGCTTAGCGGCCGCCGAACTTGGCGGCTCCCACTGGTCAGCAGGCCTCGGCCGCCTCCCCTCCCCCCGCCCGAGCCCCCCTGCCCCTGGGTTCCCATGGAGACCAAAGCCTATTAAGGACACTGGGCTGGGAGCCTCTCTCCCCTCAGCTGGCCCCAGGAGGGGGACACTGGTGGGGGTCCCCTGAACCCCCAGCCACTTTCCTTGCTCTGTGCCCTGGCCTCAACCCCGGTGCCCCACTCTGGGTCTGTCCAGCCAAGGCCCAGGTTGAAGGGTCTGGGGGGCCAGCGCAGGTAGAGTGGGAAGGTTGGGTGGAGGAAGGGCTGTGGATTTGGGCTGAATCAGTTTTGGGTCCCGCAGGAACTCAAAGCTGCAGGATGGGGGAGGAGGGTGTGGCTGGTTCATCTACTCATTCGTTCAAAAAACAATCACAGTAGCACAAGTCCAGGTGCTCAGTAGGGTGGTCATGGTCATAACTGACACAGGCGCTGTCTTCATGGAACCTTCAAAGCCAGTGGTGTCCAGCTGTTCTGTCTCTAGCTTTGCCACCCTCCCCCATGTGACTGTGGGTAAGCCCCTCTATAATAAAAGTAATAATAATAATAAAAATGGCTGTTATTCATTAAGCACTTACTGTATCCCAGGTACTGTAAGTTAAGAGTGTTACACGCACTATCTCATTTAACTCCTCCCTATAAGACACTGTGTATACCCATTTTACAGATGAAGGACTTGAATCATAGAGACATAAAGCTGCTTGCCAAGCTTACTTTCCAATTCCAGCCTGTCCTACTCAAAGCTTGTGCTTCTATCACAAGCCTCCTTTCCGGGTTTCTCTTTTCCCTGTGCTAAACATGCATTGTCCATCCAGTTTGGATGGTCTAGCTAATTTGGGATGTGGGCTCAGAATGGGTCCATAGCATGGGAGTTAGGGTGGCACCGTGCTGCAGGGCCCTGGGGCAGGAGGCTTCTTGGGAAGGGAGATGTAATATCCCTCTGAGATTCTCCAGGGACCCAGCTGCCTCCTGGGTCAGTGGAGGTGGGGTGTGTGCGTGTGTGTGTGTGTGTGTGTGTGTGTATGTGTGTGTGTCCTGGTTCTCCCAGGGGAGAGTCAGGGGCCCAGTGCCGCTTGGTGCCTAAGAAGAACTGGAGGACCACCCAGTTCAGGGGCTGCCCTTTCCACTTTAACAAGGCAGATGACGGCCTGGAAAGAGAGCAAAGGAGAGTGGGGAAGAGGCTGTGCCCCAAGGCCTCAGGAAGTTTTCCTTTATCCCTTGGGTGTCTGACCATTTGGGGGAGGGTCAGCAGCTGGAGTGGGATGTGGAGGGGGGAGAGGCAGTATCAGAGGCAGCCCTTGATTTCCACCGAGGGTGAATCAGACCTTAGCTTAACCCCATGAGACAGCTGACACTGGCTGAAGAATTAAGAGGGCAAGGAGGGAAGCAGCAGATGTAGGCAAAGGGAAGCTCGGACTGCAGAAGGGAAGCAAAGGACTTTGGCTGTCCATGTATCTGAGAGGATGCCTTGAGGGAGTAGCAAGAAGAGAAGACTGGAGTCCAAGGGACGGGGGGGATTAATGTAGATCCTCCTCCTTCCTCCACCCCTTTCCCCTCCCCCAATCAGTGGGAGGCAAGAAGCCCAGGCACTGAACTCTACTTGCTTTAATTACAGCCTCTAGCAAAAGGAAACCTCAATTAGAGGAAAAGATCTGTACCATGAGAGGGGAGTTGGGTCTGGCTGGAGTGGCTGTCCTCCCGGCCTTTTGCAAAAAGGAAAGAGGCTTTCACTTCCCCACCTCATATCTTACTCCTATATTTTCCTCTCTAGCACCCATTCTATGCCTCCTCCTCCCAGGTTTGATCTGGGATTTGCTGGGTGACCTTGTGTAGGTGACTTCATGTCTCTGAGCCCATTTCCTTATCTACAAAATGAGGATCTTACCCTGCAAGGAATATGGAGGAGAGGATGGTGGGGCAAAGTGCCAAGCATATGTTTGGTGCTTAATATGTTCAGGCTGGCCCGTTGAGATTTTGAGGGTTGAATGGTGGTGCTGTGGCACCCAGTTGGGGTTGCAGATGGAAAGCTGTCCCCTACCCAGGGAGCAGGTTTAAGATAAAGCCTGGACTGGGCAAGAGGGGAACGGGTGTCGGAGCCCTTGCTCCTGGGTTGTGGTGGAGGCCCCCGTGTCTGGTGGGTCGTCCACGGTAGCTCTGTTTCAGGTGGACGATGCCATGCTGATGTTTGACAAAACCACCAACCGGCACCGAGGTGAGTTTGGCCCCCTCCCCCTTCCCAGGCCAGCCTGGGGGCCTGTGGTCAGCCAGGGGGCTACAGGTCACAGCTGCCCTTTCATCTCGCCTCCTGACATCCTATCCCCGAGGATCTGCATCCTCTCCGGGGCCTGGCCTTACAGAAGGCTTTTGTCCCGCCGTTTCCTGTGCTAGAAACTTGCCGAATTGCAGACACCCGAGAGGAGCAGAGGAGCAGACCTCTCCTCCCCTTGCAGCTGAGCCCTCCACCCCCGCCCCAGCCGGTGTCTGCCTGGGCTTACCTTGTCCCTGGTAACCAGAGCTTAGACCGGGCCACCCCCGGGTCAGGCTGACTCCACAGCCCCGGGCAGTCTGCTCCTGCCACTGCCCCCTCGCCCCACCCATCGGCTGAGCCCAGCCCCCAGGACCCTTGCCCCTGAACCTGTGAGCATCTGGGCCACCGGGTGTACACTGCCTGGTTGTTTTTCTCCCAAGGGCCTTGCCTTCTGAGAAATCCCATTCCAGCCCCTGGGGCACACCCAGGAGGAGGCGGGGTTGTTTCTCCAGTGCCTTCAGAGCTTTTGGGCCTTTTAGCCTGTTTGGGGAGTGGGTTATGTGCTGGTGGGTGTGTGTGTGTTTTTGTCTGTGCATGTGAGGGTGTCTATGTCTGAATAGTTTTGTAGATCTAGTGTGTCAGAGTAACTGTACGTGTACACAGGGGCCTTTATGCATTTGTGAGCACTGGTGAGTGTCTCTGTGATATATGGGTACCTAGGTGTACCATATATCTGTGTATCTGTGTACAAAAATATATTTGTACACGTTCATGTGCATTTTTAAAAGTATTTGTGTGTGCTCTTTTCCCCTCCTTGGAAAGCATCTGAGGAAGAGAAAAGGCATGTTGAATGTTGTTTGCATCATAGCTCTGCCTCTTTCTAACTTGCTACGTGGTCTTGGCCAAGTCACTTCGCTGAGCCTTGGTTTTCACATCCGTGATTTGGGAGCTGAAACCCTGTCTCATTGGGTAGTTGAGAGGTTGCTAGGCTGGGAACAAAGCTTCTTGTTAACGCTTAGACACTTGCCTGTGAGGGGGGAGTGGTGTTATTGGTATGACTTGGGGCTGGGTTTTGACCATGAGCCCTGTTCTGAGCCTGCCTTTGCCCTCTAGGGTTCGGCTTTGTCACGTTTGAGAGCGAGGACATCGTGGAGAAAGTGTGTGAAATCCACTTCCACGAAATCAACAACAAAATGGTGAGCCGGGATTGGATGGGGTGGAGGTGCAGAGGGAGACTAGGGAGGGCTCCAGGCTGAGCCAGCCAGGGCTGCTTGGAGGTTCTGCAGGCAGGCAGAGGGGCCTCACAGTCAGTGGGGCAGAGCCAATTCTCCCACCCGCTGAAAATCTGGACAGGAAGACAGTGTCCCACAGCTGTGAGAAAGCATGGCTTGTGGGCTCAGAGGGACCGGGTTGAAATCCTTACTCTGCCGCTTACTAGTCTAGTCATTGGGCAGATGACTTCCCCTCTCTGAGCCTCAGTTTCCTCATCTGTAAAATGAGAGTGGCAGCAGTACCTCCATCATAGGGTTGGTGTAAGCATTTGATGAACTACCGCATGCGAAGCTGATCTCTAGCACTCTGTGATCCCTCCAGAAATGGTAACCATGAAATTAACAATAAAGAGGTCTGCCAGGGAATAGGAGGGTGACCTGCGTCTATAGGAGGGACTGACCGCCAGGTCTCATTGCAGGTGGAATGTAAGAAAGCTCAGCCAAAAGAGGTGATGTCACCGACTGGCTCGGCCCGGGGGAGGTCTCGAGTCATGCCCTATGGAATGGACGCCTTCATGCTGGGCATCGGCATGCTGGGTATGTGCTAGGCCTGCATCTGCGGCTTCTTCCTGCCCAAAACTGCTCCCGGGGCTACCAGGGGCTGCATGGGTGTTGCATCTCCTCGGTGGTCTGCCCTGCGGTCTGTCTGAGTGGTTGGGTAGGAGTGTGGACCGAGGATCTCAGGTGTGCCGGTCCTAATGAAGGTAGGCCGATTTGGTTGTAGGGTGCTGCCCTCTGGTGGTGACCAAAAGAATGGTCCAGCTGCTCCTCATTAATTGGTCCTTCTGTCCATCCGTCCGTTCTATTTTTTGTTCACCCATCTGTCCAGTAAACAGTTATTGAGCAACTATAAGTGCCAGGCCCTAAGCCAGGAAGTACAACGGTGACTTTCCTTGGAGCTTTATGGTCTGGCAGGGGAAAAAAATAAGTAAGAACATAAATAAATAGGTTTAGGATGAGAATTATAGGATGCCAAGGGAGCATGGTCATAGCAAAGTTGACCAAGACTTGGAGAAGCTAAGAAGGAAGTCACATTTAAGCTGAGTCTGTGGGTTGTGTAGGAGCTAGTTATGGGAGGGCAGGGAGCAGGGGAGGGAAAAAGTGGTCAGGCAGATGGAAGAGCATTTACAGACCCAAAGGCCTCTGGGAAGGCAGAAAGAAGGCTGCTTCTTCTTGTTCATTCAACTAATATTTATTGAGCAGCTTCTGAGAGAGAGGACCTGCCTTCATGGGGTTTCCCATCAAGTGGGAGACAGAAGTGAATGGGCAGTGTCACCACAGTGATTGGAGGCTGTGGGAGGCCCAAGGAGACACTTAAATCCACCTGGGGGTCAGGGAGGCTCCCCGGAGGAGGTCAAGGTTACCGTGAGCCTTGGAAGTTGAGCACGAATCAGCAGTGCTTGGGACCCACGACTGAGGGTGAAAAGTCTGAGCTGGGCCCCCAGGAAGGTCACAGTCTCCCTGGAGAGACAAGATGTATATACACAGAAAGAGAACAGTACAACGGGGTCTTTATGCTGGGGATGGGGGAGGGGTGCTCTGGGGACTCATAGGAGGGGCTATAGCATGGGCTAGAGGGTCAGGAATGGGATCACAGATAGAGGGGTGAGGAATGTACCCGCCAAGTGGAGCATTGTCTTCTCCTGAAGTTTTTTGTTTTAACTTTTTATTTGGAAGTAATTTCAAATTTTCAGAAGAGTTGGAAAAATAAAGTAGTACAAAGACCATCCATATACCCTCTACCAGATTCACCTATCGTTTATATCATACCCATTTTGCTTTTATCATTCTCTCTGTATGTGTATGTGTACACACACACACACACACACACAGAGTACACTTGTGATTTTTTCCCTGAATCATTTGAGGGTAAATTACATACATTTTGGCCTTTTACCCTTAGATAATTCACTGTGTGTTTCTCAAGATTAGGGATGTTCTTTCATGAAACCACATTATAATTACCAATTTATACTGATACAATATTTTAATCTAATCTATTATCTATTTTCTGATTTTATCAGTTGATCCAGTAATGTTCTTTATAACTATTTTTGTCCTCCAGAGCAAGTTCCAGGCTAGAATAAAGTATTGAATTTAGTTGTTCTGTCTCTTTAGCCTCCTGTGGAATATTGAGAAAATTTTCCTTTCAAAGCAATTCATTAGCTGGTTTCACCCCATTTAAAAAGTGGGGGGGGAAAAGAAAACCTCTAACCAGTAGTGAGAATTGTGGTTAAGAGACTTGGAGCCAGTCACATCTGAATTTGAATCCCAATTACACCATTATTACTCACTAGGTGATCTTTCTTTCAAAGCTGCAAATATCTATTATAATATATGTATACTAAGTAGCAGGCACCGTGTTGGTGTTTTGGAGAGACAGAAATAAAAGATGGGAAAGACAGAAAATCAGCACTTAAAGAAATCCTGGGATAAGTTCAGATATTGGTCATCAGTGCTATGAAAGGGAAAAACCAGGGTGACATGATAAATATTGAAAGGGAAAAACCAGGGAGGGTGACATGATGAATATTGTAACTGATGAAAGGGAGGTCTCTTGTGTGATGACCTCTCTGAGGAGGTGACATTTGAGCTGCGTCTTGCACAATGAGAAGGACATAGTTATGTGAAAACCCGGGGAAGAGTGTTCCAGGCAGAGGAATTATCATGTGCAAAGGCCCTGGGATGGGAAAGAGCTTGGTGAATTTGAGAAACAGCAGGGAGGCCAATGTGGCTGGAGCAAAGTGAGAAAGGGGCAGGGTGTAGATGAGGACAGGATGGAGGCAGGAGCCTGAGCATGAAGGGCCTTGATAAGAGTTTGGATTATTCTCAGCTAATAAGTGTCACCTCTCTGAGCCTTAGTTTCTCTATCTGTAAAATGGGGCTCCTAATAGTACCTCTTGGGATTCTTATGAGGTTTAAGGAGAGAGTAAAGTGTGCAACAGGCTTTGCACAGGGCTTGGCATGCAGAAGGTATATGGTAAATATGACTGATTATTATTCATGATACAAGGTGGGGAGGGAAATGAGAGGCTCACATCCTTCCCTGCTGAGCTGTAGGTAAGGCATCTGACACTGGTCCCCTTGCCCTATCAGGTTACCCTGGTTTCCAAGCCACGACCTATGCCAGCCGGAGTTATACAGGCCTCGCCCCTGGCTACACCTACCAGTTCCCCGGTAAGTTCTTCCCAGTGTCCCTCTGCTGCCAGCATGTCCCTGGTTCCCGGGCAATCTGACTCCTCATGGGCGGTGTCTGGGGGTGCATGGCATGGGGGAGGTCTGCCTGCTGGAGGCTTGGAAGGAAGGGCATGTCTGAGGAAGGAGCGCCTCGCCCCACCCATCCCCCCCCTCCCCAGAAGCTGGGGGGACTCCCCGTGTGGCCCTGCATGGCACCCCTCCCTCCCAGGCTGATCTCTGCCCGCCTCTTGCCTTTCTCTCCTCCCTACCCGCCTCCGGGGTTGCCACTTCCACCAAAAGGGCATTGGGCTTGTGGTGGGGCAACCTCCCTGAGGGCCAACATTGGTTGTGTCCTTACGGACTCACCGATAATGACCATGTGCTATGCTGAGCCCCTTTCAAGGCAGACAAGACCTTTGGAGACCCTGAATGCTGAAAAACAATTTAAAAGCAAGATGATCACCACCCTCATTTGTAATTCAAAATAAAAACAACACTAGGCCTTCTCATAAGTGGCGAGAAGCCCAACGAAGTTCTGAGCTTTCCCATGATGACTATTCAATGTTTTTTTTAATATCAAATTTCATATTTTTGCAAGGCTTTTGTTTGCTTGTTTTCTGGTCTTATTTTTCTAGAGGTCCCCTAAGCACTTGCACCTTGGGCAGTCCAGCTTGGAATCCTCTATACACATGTTGTTGTCTAGTCCTGACAGTAATCTCTGGGGGAAGGCATGGTGATCCCCATCTTCTAGGTGAGGAAGTAGGCTCAGAAGGGAAAAGTGACTGCAAAGATGACTCAGCTAGAAAGTGGCAGAGCTGCTCTAGGGTCATCGCTTCCCATCAATGCTACCTTCCCAGCTCCTCCCCCCACCAAAGAAAATAGGAGGAAAGATGGATTCTGGGAGATTTTTTAGTGCAATTTCAAGACTTTTAAGAAAAACAGTGGGAACAGAAGCTCCAGCATCACCCAGTGCCCAGGGTATAGGTGGCAACTCTGCCTACTCTTCCCTTCTCTGTCTGTCTCCCTTCTCTGTGACTGTGTCTCCTTCCCCACCCTTGCCTGCTGGGGACCGTGCTCTCCCCATTCCCAGCTCTCGGGTCCTGTGCATGGCCTGTCCCCCCACCCAGTGTCCCTGTGGGTGCATTTGTCCTCCCTGGGCCACGCCCAAGAGGCCTCCCTGCATCTTCCTAAGCTGTTTTACGTTTCATTTTAGAATTCCGTGTAGAGCGGACCCCTCTCCCGAGCGCCCCAGTCCTCCCCGAGCTTACAGGTCAGTCGCTCGGATTTCGTACACCTCACAGGCCACATGGGGAGAAAGAGAATGACCCAGGAACCTTCCCAGGGAAAGCTAGTGGGACCCTTTTCTCCTGCCCTCCAGTCTATGAGGATGCAGCAGACTCGGGCACTGGCCAGTCTGTGTAGCTGCATGGCCCTTAAGGGTGGGGCATAGGGCCAAGCCCAGCAGATGGAGGCGAAGTCACTCATTCATCCATTTGACAAATATTTATCTAACGCCTCCCGTATGCCAAGCACCTTGTAGGCGCTGGGAGCCAGTGGTGAACCAGCCAAGGTCTCAGACTCAGAGCAAAGTGGGCCGGGTGGGGACGTCAGGACATGGCAGTGGGCATGGCTCCACTCAGTGCCAGCCAACCCTGCCAGGAGGGGATGCAGACCCACAACTTACAGATCTTATTTTCCAAGAGAGGCCCAAAACCCAGCTTTCACTTTCAAATGAATTTTTCAGTTATTTTCAAATGTTGGCAACCAATTTCAAAATTTTAAACCACTGCAGGCCAAATGCAACATATTTGAGGGCCGAATCCAGCCCCTTTGCAACTTCTGGGCAAGTAGGTGATGTGCTTGGCCATCCTGAACCATTTCTCAAGCTGGAGTTTTTACTTGGGCCAGTCAGCTCAGCTCTGGAGCTGGGGCCGGGGCTGAGGCCCAGGCCAAGGGCAAGGGGCGGGGCGGGGTGGGTGCAGATGAGGTGGGCTGCAAGGGGTTTCTCTGTTCAACCCGCTTCTCCCCCCACCCCATCCCCAGACTCCCCCCCAACCTAGCCGTGTGTCGAGGACGTGAGCGTGGATGCTGCTTTAGATGAGACCTTCCTTCCAAGGGATGCTCAAGGGGGCCCCAAAATGGGGGAGGGGAAAGAGGAACCTGGGGTGAAGGAAGGGGAGGGAGTCCTGGTGGTGGGGCTAATAGAGGCTCTTCCCTGAGCAGAGTGAGTGGGGGAGTGAAAAGGGGTCTTTCCTACTCATTTCAGAACTCTTGTGTTGAGGACCTACTGTGTGAGACACTGCCAAGCCCTGGAGGCAAAGCAGGGACCAGACACCCAAGCTCTGATCTGCAGAACTTGTGCTCTAGAGAGAGAGAGAGAAATGCTTATTATACAAATGAGTAACGCTTTACTGCTGTGATAAGAACATGCTGGATTTGCTTTGTGGAAATGCCTAACTGGGCCCCAGACTAGACCTCAGAGCCCAGCCCTGCCGTTAAAGAACCAAGGAAAGAAATATCCCCTCTGCAGACATTTTGGCCAGGGAGAATGTGGGTTCAAGACTAAGCAGTTCTTGGAGGTCTGGGGTCCAGACTATTCCCTCGCCTTCAAGAGACGAGGGTGTTTCCTTCGTGCATTTAATCAATATTTTTTGTGCCAAATGCTGTTCCAGGCAGTGGGGATTCAGCAGGGAATGAGACAGACGAGACCCATGCCCTCCTGGAGCTGATAGTCTAGTGGAGGGAGACAGGAATAAACAAGTAAATAAACAAGTATCAGATACTTTCTCAAGGTGAGAAGTTCCACAAGGAAAATGAAACAGGGAGATGTGCTAAAGTGTAAGTGTCAGGGGCGAGGGGCTGCCTCAGCAGGGGTGGTCAGGGAAGGCTTCTCAGAGGAGGTGACGTCTGAGTGAGAAAGTGCCAGCTCTATGAAGACCTTAGGCAAGTTGTCTCCCAGCGGTGCAGGAATGCTATCCTAAACTTTAATCCCCTGGCCCAATGGCCTAGCCAAGGACTTTCAGGGTTATTTTTCAGGGTCCCTAGCGTCAGGTCCAGTTCAGGGCCAGGGTCACCAAAACAGCCCCCAGGGGCACATCTTGGGATGGGAGAGGGCAAATGCAAACTCCCCAGACTCTGGCTCTGGTTGGGATTGTAGCTTCTCAAGGGCTGCAGTGGCAGAGCCAAGCGGCAGGGGGCGCTCACCCCCAGGCCTGAGGGAGCTCCAGACTCATGCCAACCAATTATTTAAGCAGAGGTCCTCCTAGTACTGTTCCTTCAGCTGACACTTATTAAACACCAACTGCATGCAAGGCAGGGTGCTAGGCACTGCGGAGGTGGGAGGGGGGTAGACAGCAAACCAGGGAATAGCCAGATCCCTGTGTCTGAAGAGGGGGTCAGAGAAAAGGGGATGAGGAGACTTGGAGGAAGGAGTGGTCATTTCTGCCTCGGTGGTGGTCAGGGGCCCCTGAGGCAGGGAACTGCGTGTACACGATGTATCGAGGACATGCTCACGGGAGAAGGGGAGCGAGGGGAGCCGGCCAGGCAGCAGAAGGAGTGAAATGGGCTTGTGGCCTAGACTGGAGTCTAGCTTCAGCCGGATCCCACCGGGGGGTAGGGGGGGGTTAATACACCTCCTGGTTGGTCCCTTGGGGCTTTTGGTACCCGTGTCAGTCAGTCACTGGCTCCAGTTGACTGGGGTTGGGAAGAGGGGCATAATCTCTGTGTGCCCCTGGGCTAAGTAGCCCCCGTCCAGCCAAGGGCCCTCCCTGGAGAAGGGGGCAGCTGCAGGCGATGCTCAGAGCAGCTCGTGGGGGGTGCACCACCTGCACCCGCTATGAGGTTTGGTTGTTCAAGTGTGTCCGTCAAGTCCAGGGGAGAAGCTGAGGATCCCTGGGAGGCGATCCTCTCGCCTCCCTTTCTCCAAGAGAGTCCTTCTGCCTGACCCCAGGGCTGCACTGACCCCTCCGAGGTGGGGTAAGGCTGGAGAGGCTCTGCCCTCATCCCCTGCTGCCCCTCAGCCGCCACGCTGAAGCGCCCATACCTTTCCTTCCAGCCATTCCTCTCACTGCTTACGGACCCATGGCAGCGGCAGCGGCAGCAGCAGCTGTGGTTCGAGGGACAGGTGAGGCCTTCTGGGGTGCAGGAAGCGAGGGAGGGGGGCAGGGGGCAGAGAATTCTAGAGGGGTGAGGAGGTGGCCACTGCCACCCCTCTTCAGAGGGACTCACTTATTCATTCACTCAACGAATATGAACTGAGCACCTGGCAGGCTGGCCAGGAAGGAGACTGACATGGTCTCTGCCCTCCAGAGCTTACAGGCTGGTGGGGCATCAGGTATTAAAAAGGCAGTCACACGGAAGGATAATACTGCCCGCTGGGGGATGTCAGCTGTCAGAGGAGCTCACAGGCCTCTCAGGAAGGCTTCCAGGAGGTTGCACCTCTTAACTTCGCATTTGAAGGCAAACAGGAAGAAAAGTATTCCCAACAGAGGGAAGAGCAGGTGCAAAGGCTTGGAGGCCAGTTAGCATGGGTGGAGTGCAGGAGTGGGGAGTGGGGAGGAGGTGGGATGAACCGGGTCCTGGGGAGACCCGGAACATTTTAAGCAGCAGAGTGATGTCCATTTTAGAAAATGCACGCAGCTGCAGGGTGGGTACAGGTGTGAAGGGGCTCCAGAGGGGAGGGGAGGTCAGTGAAGAGGCTGCTGAGTGGTCAGACAAGAGATGATGGGGGCCCGAGCTGGGGCTAGTGGGGGGGGGGGGGTGGATGGACCCTGGAGGATTTCTGGGTGGCGTCGCACATGCCCCTCTGGGTTGTGGGGGTGAGGCAGGGGGGAGGGGCCAAGGTCAGGCTGGGTGGAACGGATTGGAGGGGATGCTGGGGGGTCACAGCGGGCGCCGGGGCTATCACCGTCTTCTTTCTGGGTTGCCAGGCTCTCACCCCTGGACGATGGCTCCCCCTCCAGGTTCAACTCCCAGCCGCACAGGGGGCTTCCTGGGGACCACCAGCCCGGGCCCCATGGCCGAGCTCTATGGGGCAGCCAACCAGGACTCGGGGGTCAGCAGTTACATCAGCGCTGCCAGCCCCGCCCCCAGCACTGGCTTCGGCCACAGTCTTGGGGTGAGTGGCTGGACCTGGAGGACCCTGAAGTTGAAGGAGGGAGAGGCCTTGTCTGTCTGTGGGGGCAGAAGGGAGGCGAGAGATGACGGATGGAGAGAGTGTCACCAACCAAGGAACAGTGAGGGTTATCATTCAGTCATTCAGTGGACATTTAATGATCTCCTTCTGTATGCCAGGCATTAGGTGTGCTCTGGGGATACTGTGCAAATGAGACTCACCATCTCTGCCTTCATGGAGGCTAGATTCTAGCTCAGGGGTGCCCTACTTTTAACCAGGGTACTGGTTAATGCAGATTCCCAGGCCCTACCCTGGAGAATCTTTTAGTGGGGGCGATATGGGCAGGGCTAGAGGAGGTCTGTGCCTCACCTGGGGCTCCTGTGAGAGACGGAAGGAGCCCCTGGGCTTTCTCTGCTGCCCCCAGGAATCCAGGAGTCAAATTCTTTTCTTTCCAGGGCCCCTTGATTGCCACAGCTTTCACCAATGGGTACCACTGAAGCAGGAGGCAGGTGGCAGGAGGTGAGGAGGTGGGCAGGGGCCTTGGGGTGTGGGTGGCACTGGGAAGGCTAGTACTGGGCAGCCTAGTCTGGGACATGGCCCCCGTCCCTGCCTTCACGGAACCCACAGCCCAACGAGGAGACAGACCTTCATCCCAGCAGTGGTCAAAGAACAGGAGAAGCGGCTCCATAAAGAATGTGCACAATAAGGCAGAATGTGCTGCCTCTCAGGCGAAGATTTCTTTTTTCAGCACCTTTTTTTTTTTAATTTTTGGCCGCGTTGGGTCTTTGTTGCTGCGCATGGGCTTTCTCTAGCTGCAGCAAGCAGGGGCTGATCTTTGTTGCGGTGGGCGGGCTTCTCATTGCGGTGGCTTCTCTTGTTGCGGAGCACGGGCTCTAGGCGCGCGGGCTTCAGTAGTTGTGGCTCACGGGCTCTAGAGCTCAGGCTCAGTAGTTGTGGCGCACGGGCTCAGTTGCTCCGCGGCATGTGGGATCTTCCCGGACCAGGGCTCGAACCCCTGTCCCCTGCCTTGGCAGGCGGATTCTTAACCACTGCGCCACCAGGGAAGTCCCCGAAGAGTTTTTAAGATTGATGATGCCCAGCAATGTTAAGGGGGGAGGACAATCTGCAAATTGGCTCAGGTTTTCCAAAGGGCAGGTTTATCCGGACTAAACATTCATGCCCTTAACACAACAATTCCACTTCTAGGCATTTATTTTTAAAACTGCAAATAACTGAAATGCCCATCAACAGGAGAGCAGTTAAACAGACTGCATGCATACAATGGAGTATTACTCAGCTGGTAAAACAGGATACTTTCAACATGTATGCGTATACAGAGAGTGAGGGGACGGGAGGACCCTGCACACACAGTCATCATGCTGTGTATGGTGGGGCACTTTGTGACCCAGCGACATTTCCTTTGTTCATTCATTCATTCATTCAAACAACTATTTATTGAGCACTATTCCAGAAAAGGGGAAGGTAGAAGACAGACAAGGCCCCTCTCACTCTACAGACAAAAATCAAGTGAGCAAGTGAGATCATTCCAAATCGTGTGTGAGGGGTCTACCTACTTTAGGGGTTCAGAGGGCATCTCTGAGAAGGTGACGTTTGAACAAATCCAGCCATTCAAAACTCTATGGGAAGGAGGGTTTCAAACGGAACAGAAAATGCGAAGTGTACGAACAAAGCTTGCCTAGGAGGGGATTAGGGAAAGAGGGCTGCAGGAGGATACCTGTGTTCTGGGGGCCGCAGAGAGGCGCGGGGGCAGCACGCCCATAACCTGCCGCTGTGTTCCAGCGCCCCGGCCTGCAGCTGACTGAGGACCACGAGTGAGCCAGCAAGGGGGCGGGGACACCTCAGCCGCAGCCGCCTTCCCCTCCCCCGCAGCGACTCGGACGCGACCGTCTACCCGCCCCCCCCTCCCGGCCCCGGCCCCTGCCCTGCTGCCCGCCCCCGCCGGACATCCATCGTCTGGCTCCCCTACTAACCTCCCCCTCTTCCCCAGCCTCCCCTGACCTGCCCTGCCGCTTTTATTTATTTTGGATTAGCCAGTTGCCCCCCACCGCCCCTGGTTCTCCCCTCCCCTGTCGGGTCTGCACCCCGCTCTCCTTGCCGCGCCCCCCTAGGACTCCCGAGAAGGCTTTTGTATTTGTGCATAGCTAGAGTGAGGGCGGAGGGGGCCTGTTACAGGCCGCAGCCACAACCCTGGTTTTTTATTCCGATTTTCCCTCCTTTTCTCTTTCCTTTTTTTTTTTTTTTTTTTTTAAAGAAACCGTTTTTTAGGTTGTGAATGTGAAGCCCCAGGCCGCAGGGGGCAAGGGGCCAGGTGCCCCCCCCACCAGCTGAGAACAAAATGTCTATGTGGGTGCGGGCCCCTGGCCAGCTCCCTCCAGCCCTGGAGAGGAGGACAGGGCTGCGTAGGCCAGGCCGAGCCCCTGGAACCATCCCGTCCTGTATCATATGTAAATACTGTGAGGTGAAGCCCACACCCCTCTCTAAGACCCCTTGGGGGTGAGGGCATCGCCTCGCCCCACCTGGCAAAGGTCTCCCCTCCACCGTGTTTCTCTACCTTCCTCAGACACCGTTACTGTAAGCTTGCAGGCCTCAACTGTGGCCGAGTCAGGCCTGCTCTCTCAGGCCCTAGGGGTCAAGGCCTTGGGCCCGCTCACCCCGAAAACCCAGTGTGGGAACGAGGGAAGAGAAGGGCTCACCTGGAGCCACTGCTGGAAAGGAATTAACTCTCCAAAGGTCTCCCCCTGCCCCCTACCTAGTCGGGCCTTCATGGTTTCTGCCCTGAGCCCCTCCGTAAGTGGGCATCGGGCGGGGGGGGGCACTTTGGGAAGGGGCGGACCCCAGGGGAAAGCAAAGGGCTTCTCAGGGAACCCCCAAATTCTCTCACTGAAGTTCCCCACCAGGATGGTCCCGTGGCCAGAGCCCCTTGGCTGCCCCAAGCCCCCCGAGCCCCCTTCAAAGGAAAAAGAGGCTCAGGTCGTGACTCTTCATGAACAGCGAGTGACCAGGCTGGCATGGCAGGGCTGAGGCCCCCCGCCATCGTCCCCCCTCTCTGTGTCCTCTCCCCCAGGTCTGAGGCTGGGGTCCTAAGCTCCCTTCCCCATTATAGTCCCTGCCTGTGAAAACCCCCTTTGGAGAGTTAATTGTCTGTGTGAGGTGCTTAACCTATTAGCCCTGAGAACACAAAGCAATAATCTTTGTTACCGAGATGCGCGGCTGTTTGTGTTTTTTTGTTTTTTTTTTCGTTGTTTTTTTAAATGTTTCCTAATAAAAGAGAAGCTGCATTTTATTGGTTTTTATTTTTAATTTTCTACACGTTTGAGCTGAGTCATAAGAGACTTAGCTTCCCTCTCCTCCCCTTCCTGTGATTCCCCCACCCCACTGGGCCCATCCATGGGCTCAGGGCCCTGGAATTCCGTTTTCTGATTTGTTTGGGAAATTTTTTAAAAAGATGTTACACGGTGTTTCGAAGCCAGCAAGTTACCACCCTCCGGTGTCTCTTCTCTCCACATCTGTAACTTCTTTTTCCAGGTTTTATTTTCAGTTTTAAATTCCTAATAAATTATTTGAAAACGGGCCTAAGCTTGTGAGTGTCTTGCATCTCTCTGTGCGTTTAGGTCTAGGTACCCCAACGATACCCTGTTTTCCCTTCACTTCTCCTATTTTCCTCCTGGAATAATCTTCACCTTCCACTCGACCCAGCTCCCATCTCCAACTTCTTCATCAGCCTCAAAAGCTTAGTGTTGATGATGAGATACCACTTCACACCCATTAGGATGGCCATCATCAAAAAAACAGAAAATAACAAATGTTGGTGAGGATGTGGAGAAATTGGAACCCCTGTGCCTTGCTAGTAGGAATGTAAAATGGCACAGCTACTATGGAAGACAGTTTGGTGGTTCTTCAAAAAGCTAAACATTGAATTACGATCCAACAATTCCACTCCTGGGTATACACCCAAAGGAGTTGAAAGCAGGGACTCAGATACTTGTACACCAATGTTCATAGCAGCATTATTCACAATAGCCAAAAGGTGGAAAACAATCCAAGTATCCATCAACAGATGAAATGGATAAACATGGTCTTTCCATACAGTGGAATATTATTCAGCCATAAAAAGGAATGAAGTACTGATACGTGCTACAACATGGATGAACCTTGAAGAATTATGCTAAATGAAAGAAGCCAGACACAAAAGGACAAATACTGTATGATTCCACACATTTGAGGTACCTAGAACTGGCAAATTCATAGAGACAGAATGCGAGTAGGGAGTTATGCCTTAGTGGTTACAGAGTTTCTGTTTGGGATAATGAAAATGTTTTATAAGTAGGTAGTGCACAGCATTGTGAATATAATTAATGCCACTGATTGTACACTGAAAAGTAGCAAATTGGTGAGGGGCTGTAAAAAAGTGGTACATTTTGTTATGTACATTTTACCACTTTTTTTTTTTAAGCTTAGCATCGGACCCCTTCCTCTGGTTTGCCTTTAACTCAGAGAATCCTAAGAGGGTAAGGTGGGAAAAGCAGCTCAGGTGGAGGTGGGTATCGCCAAATGGTTAGATGTGGGGTTTCCAACACCTGGCTCCTCCCCTTCTTCTCTGAGCTTCCTCTGCCTCTCTGAGCCTCAATTTCCTCATCTATTAAAGGGAATGATAAAGAAGCCAGACATAGAAGGCCATGTATTATAAGATTCCATTTATATGAAATATCCAGGAGCCACAGAGTTAGAAAACAGATTTGTTGGGGCTGGAGGGAGGGAGGCAATGGGGAGTAAATGCTTAATGGTTAAGGGATTTCCTCTGGGGTGATGGAAATATTTTGGAACTAGAGGCGGTGGTGGCACGACATTGTGGATGTGCTAAAAGCCACTGAATGGCTCATTTTTTAAAAAATTATTAATTAATTTATTTTACTTATTTATTTTTTTTTGCGGTACGCGGGCCTCTCACTGTTGTAGCCTCTCCCGCCGCGGAGCACAGGCTCCGGACGCGCAGGCTCAGCGGCCATGGCTCACGCGTCCAAGCCGCTCCACGGCATGTGGGATCTTCCCGGACCGGGGCACGAACCCATGTCCTCTGCATCGGCAGGCGGACCCTCAAGCACTGCGCCACCAGGGAAGCCCATTAATTAATTTATTTTTGGCTGGGTTGGCTCTTCGTTGCTGCGCGTGGGCTTTCTCTAGTTGCGGCAAGCGGGGGCTACTCTTCGTTACGCTGTGCGGGCTTCTCATTGCGGTGGCTTCTCTTGTTACACAGCACGGGACTCTAGGCACGCGGGCTTCAACAGGTGTGGCTCGCGGGCTCTAGAGTGCAGGCTCAGTAGTTGTGGCGCACCGGCTTAGTTACTTCGCGGCATGTGGTATCTTCCTGGAGTAGGGCTTGAACCTGTGTCCCCTGCGTTGGCAGGTGGATTCTTAACCACTGCACCACCAGGGAGGTCCCAATTGCTCACTTTTAAATGGTTATTTTTATGTTATGGGGATTTCACCTCAAAAAATTTAAAAAGAGAACCATAAGAGTATCTCGGGTGGTTGTTAATTAAACAGGGAGGGCTGACAGGATCCAACACCAGGCAAGGCACAAAGTAACTGGTTGGTAAACGGTAGCTGCTATTAATCCCAGGCTGCCCCAGGTGCCTGGAAATGCATAATTGGGGCTCAGCAATGGCCGCTCCCTCCCGAGTGGGACTGACAGCTGCGGTTCACACATTGCGGTTCCCTTAGTGTCTACTGTGCACAAGTCACTCTTAGGCACTGAGAGGGTGACCAACTTGTCCTACTTTGCTGGGGACTTTTCTGGTTTGAAAACAGGAAGCGCTGTATCCCAAGAACCCTTCCGTCCCTGGAAGAAAAACAGAACGATTAGTCACCTGAAGGCAATGACTTCATTTGGGTTTGTAGCAGGGCGTCAAGTTCTGCTGAGATCTGAAAGAAGAGTAAGAATTAACTAGGCAAGGCTGGGGGCGGGAGGGGGTGGAGGAGCATACCAGGAGGAGAGACCAGCAGGGGCAAAAGCCTTGAAATGGGAGGAAGCATGAGAACGTCAATCAAGGAGCTGAGAGAAGGTCCACTGCGTCTAGAGAAGAGGGTATCCCACCCCACTACAGGCCAGGAGGTAGGTAGGGGCAGAGCAGACTGGGCCTCTAGGCTGCTTTTGTTTCTTATATAAGAGCAGCTGGGAAGGTGTGAAGGGTTTTAGCCAACAGGGTGGGAGAGTGATGACATGATGTAATCAGGTTTGCATTTGAAAAGGTCATTAGCCTATACAATAGGGAACAGATTTGAGATTGTGGAGGGGAGCACAGAGACACTAAGGAGACTGCTGCAACCATCTGGGCAAGAGATGCTGGGGCAAGGACCAGGGTGTTGGAAGTTGGAAGAAGGGTGTGGCTTGAGAGCTGGACTTGGGGTGGGACTGGATGGGGAAAGGGGTGAGGAGAGGGAGTATTGGAGAGAGTTCCTGGGTTTCTGAAGACCTGGACTCTGAAGAAGGTCAGTTTCCTCGGTGGTTGTGCTCAGTTTGAGAAATATTCTCAGCTGAGCTCAGATGCAACTGGAGACAGAGATGGTGTGATAAGAGGAGGGATGAGAATAAGCCCCTTAGGATGACTCCAGCCAAATTGAACCCAGACCAGTGTTACCTAAAGCCTTCTGGGAACCTCCCAACAGCCACATACTGGGCTCAGTGCCGGACTAAGAGGCAGGAACATGTCGGTCCAAATCCTATCTCCACCACTTTCCAGCTGTGTGACTTTGAGTAAGTTACTTAAGCTCTCTGAAACTGTTCCATCATCTGTAAAAAGGGGAAGATGATGACAACAGTACCTATGCCAGAAGATGGTCGTTAGGCTGAAAAACAACATGACACTCTTAGCACAGGGCCGAGCACATAGACGCACTCAGCAAATGGTAGCTGGTAGCTGCTTTGGG